TGGAGGACTCCCTGGGATGTGGCCACCCCAGCCCCCGGGCCATTACGAGGGAGGCGTCTGTCCCTTTGTCCTCTACCCTCGCTCTGCCCGCAGGCTTCCTGGGGGATCCCTCCCCTCGCTGTCTCCCTTCTTTCACTCTAGCCCTGGCCAATGGCTCTGATGTCTCATCAGTTTTTTTCAGAGATGAGTGAAGACTACAAGGGAAACTGCCCTTCTGGGTGGGTGGAGAGAGCTTCCCCTCCAATCTCACCTCTCGTGTCCTCTGGGCAGACCGTCTGATACAGGGAACGCCCCTGCCGGCTGGAAATGCCCCTGGGGCTCCCTCTGCCGGAATGGGCGGCCGGAATGGGCGGCCTTCTGGGATTATTCTAGAACTGAGTTTCTTTTCAAGTCCGGCTGACGGGCGGATCAGGTGGTTTGGGGTTGCTTCGCTCTGCGTTGCGTGCCTACAGTGACCCAGAACTGAAGACACCAGGGAGTTCCTGGCTCGGGGGGCCAGGAAGCTTGGCTCCAGCACCCCCGACGGTTTCCCTGGCAGTCCCCTCCCCAGGGAGGCCCAGGCCCTGCCCGTCAGCATCCTCTGCTCCCCGCAGACCACCCATCTCTACCCATCAGCCACAGGCCCATCTAAATCCCTGGCTTTGACCCACCTCCCCTCCCCCACTGTCCTTGGGGTGTCAGGAAGCAGAGGAAGCTCCTTCCACGTGAGGGATGTTTCCAGGTCCGAGGACATTTCCTTCCACTGCTGGGGGCGAGGTCTCTGTGTTCCAGCCCCAGAATCTGGGGTGTAGGTCCCCACTTCTTTATGAGGCTCCCTCTTCGGGTCCTTCCGTCATTGAGTGACCCGGTTTCTCCCCCTGTTAAAACCAGAGGAGGCTTTCCTGTTCTGACCTGGGCTCGGGTGCAGCCCTTTGCGCGCAGAGAAGGGAAGATAAATTCGCCTTCATCAAGTGCCTGCTGCCTGCCACCGTGTCCAACGGGCCTGAATTAATTCCCAGTTCTTTACAAACACGTGTGGGGGGAGACAGATCCCTCAGCCCCCTCCTCGCTGAGAGGACCCGTGGGATGAAGCCACTGCCCTAGCTGTCCCCTCCGAGTGCTTGGATTCTGCCACCTCCGAGGAAAGGAAGGCCGAGCTCACCCCTGGCCAGCTCACTGAGGGACCTTCTCTTCCTGGCCATTTGGGTCACGTTGAGTGTATTTCTGTGGCTATGACAGGGATGCAGGGATGGCAGGACCTGATGGTGGCAGGGATTTTCCTCTCCCTGCCCGACCCAACCCTAATTCTAACCCACTAACCCTGAGTCCCGGACAACAGTCATGAAAGGGGAGTGTCTCGGGAGCACTGTGTGATCCCCCTTTCAGGGGTGACCTTGCCCCTCCTGCCCCGGGCCTTGGCTCGTTCCATCCCACCTGCCTGAACCCTCACAGCCTTGGAAGGCAGAGACGTCTCCCTTCAAAACACAGGGCGGGCGTGCTGACTTCCGGCCTAATACTCTTCCTCCGGAGAGAAGGGCAGCCATGCCTCCTGCCCATTAGAAAGGGTGGGGGTCCCCCAGACCAGGGTTCTTCTTTCGCAGCAGAGCTGCCTGCGGGTGCAGGTGTAACCCAGCTCCTCTCGGGCTGCCCTGCGGGAACTGGGGCCCAGGTGACCCAGAGACAGAAGCGGGCACCTGGCCACTGGGAGAGTCATACATGTCCCTCAGCTCTGGCACAGGAGCTCGGGCCCTCCCAGCACCCACGCCAGGCGTACCCGTGTTGGGCAAAATCACAGACCTTCATAGTGCTTGACGCTAATTGGAGCAGTAATTATGTTTTATTCATTCTGCGTATTCCTTGTATTTTGGTATCAAGATACGAAGAAATGAAACCAATGAACATCCCCAGGAGCAGACCCGTGTCTGCTTCCCGGCCGCAGGCCGCAGCCCGGGCCACCCCCGGGGCCACCCCGCTGTGACAGGCCGCCCAGTCTCTCTCTTTTCTCTCCTTGTTTGTTCTCTTTGTTCCCTCCTCATTTTGGGATGTTTCCCCTCCCTGCTCTTTAACCTGTGTTCTAGTCCCTTGCAAGGGGTCACACAAATTTTCTTCTGAATCCCTCAGGGGACCCTTAAAGAGGAGAGCCCTCCAGGTTCAGGCCGTGAGGGCCCTGGGGGCGAGGCTGGGGGACAGCTTGCGGATGCTGCAGCCCCGGTGCGAGAGGCAGCAGGCATTTCTGCGCCTGGACTCGCTCCCTCCCCCACTCGGCAGTCACCCAGTTACTTGAAATAAATGGCATCGCTGCTGCCTTCGAAGGACCCACACTCCGAGACAGATGTGGGGCCCCCAGACCCCACGGCAGCCGGAGAGGCATGTTAACAGAGGACTCGGCGGAGAGTCCTGCAGACGCCTGGGTAGGCAGCGCTGGCCGTGCTGGCCGCTGGGGCCTGAGCTGAGTCTAGTAGGGCAGCCGACTGGCCTGGCAGAAGGCCGGGAAAGGGGTTTAGTCGTAGGAAGGAGGGGGTCCCGACAGTTCCCGCCGAGCCTTCTTCTTACCAACCTCTGGTGGAGGGATCTTTACCACCCCCAGGGCCACAGCACGTGTCCCTGGTGGGACACAGTGTAACGACGGGAGCGTCCAGCGACCCACCTCCACAGTGAGTTCTCCAGTCTGGGCAGCCTGTCTGCCAAAAGGGGGTCCCGTTAGTGTCCCCCATAGGGAGGTTGCGGTGATTTGAGTGCTCAGCACAGCCCTCGGCACATGGCGGACACCCAAATGACCTTGAAAACCATTCATGCACTTTGCTTTCGCCTCCCTGAGGCCATGGCCTTCTCCCCAGGTGTCCCCAGAGCCCTCTGCCCTGGCTGGGAGGAGGGGACAGAGACCAGAGGTGTCTCAGAGCCGTACAGAGACGCAGGGGGCACGCTCGGTTCCTGACGTGCGTGACAGGACTGGGCGTTGGAAGGCAGGGCCTCGTCTGGGCGTTTCATTACAAATTCCTTATCCCTCCCTCTCTCTGAGTCCTCCCCACCTACGCCTCCATCGCAGCCTGCGGAAGGAAGACAAGGGCAGTTCGGGGCCTCTGGGGAGAAGGTGCATGGCTGTCACCGTTACTTACGTCTGCGAGACTCAGTAGACTGGGCGTAACGGCCCTGTTCCTGGGCCTCGGCCGCCCCATCCGGAAGCCTGCGGAAGGCAGCTGTGCGGACCCCCGAGCAGCCTCACCGCCTGGTGTTCTTCAAAGAAGCACATGCTGGAAAACGCTGTCTGAAAATAGCCATGTATTACCAGGTAGAAAAATATCTAGTATCTCATTAGATACTAGTCTAGATAGCTAACGTCACAGACGTGCAAAGCCATCCCAAGAATTTGGAAGGATCGCAGAAGATTTTATATACTGTGTTTTTCAGATCATAAGACGCACCCAGGTTTTACAGGAGGAAAATAGGAAAATAATTTTTGAAGCAAAAAATGTGGTGAAATATTTAATGACATAAATAACATAGTATTTCACCAATGTAAATGTAAAGCTACATTTAAATTGTAAGACACACCCCCATTTTCCTCTCGAATTGTGAGGAAATCTCAAATTGGGCTCAGCAGCTGAGCCCACAAACCTGTCTATTGGTTTACACTTTTAAAAAGAAAGTATGTTGTTTTAAAATTAATTTCCTGATTATGCCTCCAAGGGGTTAGCACAGGGTTGAAGATGGGCTTTAGAAGTGTGAGTGCCGATTACCTTTCCACTGGGGTTATTGAGTTCTTCAGTTTTCCTTGCTCTTAAATGATGTCCATTTGCTGGTGGTAAAGATGGACAGCAACCCAGGACTGGCCCCAGGTCTGAGCACCCGGAGTTGAATGGCAAAGACCCCATAAGGTGCCTCACTGTATCCGGCCTTTTTCTGGTAAGAGGACGACATGGGGTGATGTCATGCATTCCAAAGATAAGCAGATGCTCACCACTAAATTTGGGAGACCTTTTCTGCTAGCCTTGAGAATACAAATTTAATATCTTTTCTTTCCATAATGATATTTGACGTATTTTTAAAAGCTGAAAAACACCACAGGCTTACACTGAAGAACAAGTCTTGCCCCACCCGCCCCTAAGAACCAAGGCCAACACTTAAGAGTCGACTCTTCCCTGGCTTTCCATCATGCAGGTCCTCCCTGCAGATTTTGGATTTTCTCTTTCTCTATGTGTATATATGATCTCAAAATAGATATTTATATGTAAACAACTGTAACATATATCTATAACATCTATAAGCCAAATATATACATATATATAAACATCCTGTTTGGCCAGTTTCTCTGGAAAACACCTACTGAAATATATCTCACATCTGCACATTTCTGCCCATTTCATGGATGAGGAAGTTGAGGCTTAGAGGGGTTGCAAACCATGACCAAGGCTACACTCCTGACAAGTGCAGAGCCCGGAAAGTCCAGGCTTTTCCGAGCCACGGCGCAACACGGCTTCTTACGTGTGAATCCCAGAATACGAACGTGAGGCCTGCATGTCACACACTCTGTACTTACTAGGAAGTGTCTCTTCTTTTCAATGGTTCGCACATGACCTTGGGCTTTTACGGTTCGTGAGAACCGTCAATATGCAAACACCTCACTGGCCCGGGGAAGTGCAAACACGCCCGTGTGCAGAGCAGGTGGTCCCTGCTTGGCAGAGTGAAGTCCTATAGGGTAAATAGTCTTCTTTGTAGTTTTAATTACCAGAAAGATCTTGAAATAACCACACACTTTTCATAAATAGTCAACTGCAAGATTTTGAGGAACATGAGAGGAAACTAAACAGACAATTTAAAGTGAAGTTTTGTTGAAAATAAGATGCACCCTTCCCTCCAAAAAAAATGGAAAAGGAAATAAGCTGTGTATGAGCATGCAGTTAAAGCAGAGAAAAGCAAACAGGGCACAGCCGTCCCTGGGCCTCTCGGTGTCTTTGCCGTGGGCTAAAGTCCCACATTCCATTCGCATCTTCAAAAGTGGCCTCGCACTGGCGCCTCTCCACAGAAAAAGGTGGTGGTAAATATTCACCCGGATCGATGGTTTCTGGGCAAGCCGCGGACTGCCCCAGTCAGGGCAAGCGAGCCGGTCACCTCTGATCAGCAGAGCGCTGCTCCGGGAGACGTGTCACCCCTAAACTTTCAGAGACAATCTCGCTGGCTCTAAAGGACAGTCCTGCCAGAATGCAGAAGATGGTGCTGGAAATATTGGCCATGTTTGTCCTCGGGATGAACAATGGGCCCTGTGCAGGTAAGGGGCTCAGCTCCGTGGGACCCAAGGCGTGTCCTGGCCTGGGCACCGGGTCTCACGGTGCCCCGTGTGCTTGCGCGTCCAGGTTTCCCGGTGTATGACTACGACTTGCCCTCCCTGCGGCAGGCCCTGAGCGCCTCGGTGGCAGACGTGAACTCTCGGTCCCTGAGCCCGTACCTGTTCAGGGCGTTCAGAAGCTCCGTGAAAAGAGTGAGTGCACAGGCTGGCTCCCCACGCCTCTCTCTACCGCGTTCTGGCTTCTTTTGTCGGTGCGTTGGGTACACTTTGCTTTTATTTTTTCCAGTTTAAATGGTAATAGCTAATCACCTCTTCCAGCCATTCCGAGTGCACCAGGAGGCCCCGGAGCTCTCCGGAAGCCTGCGTCCTCTGCAGGGCACTTCCCCACTCTGGCCCCTTTCCCGTTCCAGACCTTCCTGCTACACAGCGCATGTCCCCGGGTGCCTCATGAGGCTCTTTATTAAGAACTGCTCATTTATTAGAACAAGGCTCCTTCGGGTTCAGCAGTTCTGCTTCTCACATTTACAGGAAATAAACTCTGGCTTTCGAGCTATAGTCCCCCCCTTCCTTTGTCAATGCAGTAGTGAGTGGTCTGTTTCCTGTTCACGCTGGAGACAGGGGAAGAGGAATCTTCTCGGGCGCCCTGTGATGAAGTCTGTGATAGGCAAAGAAGCAGTTAGTTTATGTGAAGCTGGGAGGTGGGACGGCTTCTGTAAATCACAGGCCACGTGGGAAGGAGTGGACGTGCTCTGTCCGCCTGCCCGTGTCTCCCATCCTGGCTGGGGGCCACCTTCGCTCCCTCTCTGGCTGTGAGGAGCACAGGGCTCCTGTGTCTCCAAGGACAACACATTCACCTTGACCCTTCCTCTTCAGAAAGTGGCTCGGTGTCCCATTTCCAGAGTCCCAGGAAATCAACTGAATTGTCCCAGCTGTCTTTCTAATGGGCCATAAGTCATGAAGACGATGGACTATGGCTTAGTTGGGTGTCGGCCTGGAACCAGGCCGTCGTGGCCAGAGTGGTGTGGAAGTGATGAGAGACGTGTGTGCTCAGCTGCCAGGCCAAAGGGTGATTCATTCTGGAAGGCCACGGAGCCAGAATCAAGGACCTCACTCCTCCCCCTCACCCCCATTGGACTGGCTTCTCTCTTTGGCACATCATGAAACCTGCTGGCAGTGTGGGGAAATCAATGTCTTCTTGCCAGGCCTGCTTGTGATTTAGCTGTGCTCACTACAGAGGACAGCGAATACTTAGATGAATAAGAACATGAGGATGAGTCCTGAGAGAGCAGGTTACGGGCACCGTGGACCTCTGGCCCGGGGAGATGAGCTGTGGTGGGTGTGGCCCCCTGCCCTGGGCCCAATCCAGTGCATGGGCCACCCTGTTTAGACCTGACCCCAGACACACGTACCCTGGCAAATAAAAACACTTCTGTGTGCGTGTGCATGATCCTTAATGGTACGTGATGGAGAGATGCCCCTCTGTGTCCTGTGTGCCGCAGTCCCATCTGGAAGCCTGCCTGCTCTTGCCTCTCTCTCTGGCCTTTTCCAAGTATTCAGATTCATCGGTCAGGCAACATTCATATTCCCCTTCTGTGAAATCCTCACGTTTCCACAGATGACCGTAAAAGGACACTGAGCACTGAAATTTGGAGTTACAAGTAGATTTTAGCGAGTAGGCAAATCTGCAAGTATGGAGCCTGTGAACAGCGAGGACCGGTTGTAAAGCTCGGTCATTAGGCGCGACACTGGCCTTGGAGGTAGGGCACGGAGGGGGTTCTGGTTCCTGTGTCCCCTAGAGCATCGTACGCCTTCGGTGAAGCATGTTTCCCTCTGGTGTCCGGACGAGGGCTTGGGGCTGTGGTGTTCTGACATGACTGATAGCTTTTTATTTTTATTGGGGGTTGATTCTGTAACGTGTTCTCGCTGTGCAGGGAGACACGTTTCTAACGAGGTGAATTTCAGAAACACCGGTGGCCCACTGACGCTCTGTTTCCGTGCAGGTCAACATGCTGGCTGAGAACAGCTTGAGCATGGATATAGAATTCAGCATCCGAGAGACGACCTGTCGGAGGGGCTCCGGCGAGGATCCCGCCACCTGTGACTTCCAAAGGGGCTACTACGTGGTAAGTGGGCTGGGTAGGGCCCATCCCCACCCACCACCCGAAACTAACATGAGGAAGCGCCTGGTCTTCTCCCCTGACCTGGAGCTGCTTTGGTGGCCCACGGGGAGCTGGGCCCCTGCCTGCTGTCTGACCACACGGGGAGGCACGCGCTGTGCCGCAGTGGGGGTGGCGCGGCCCAGTGTTGAGGACATGAGCTCTGGAGTCCGTGGTCCTGAAGGATCCGGGCAGGTCACTGAACCCCTGTTGCCTCAGTTTCCTGTTCTCTAAAATGGGTATGTCGATGGTTCCCAGTAAAGTGAATATGAAAAGGTGAAATATCCCACAGATGTTTCAAATTCCACTTAAAATAACTTCAAAATACTAATGGCGGGAGTTGCAGTTGACTGTCCGGTGACAACGTCTTTCTCCCCAACCAGCTGGGGCTCCTCTGGGAATGAACGGCAGCACCATGGGGCGTTCAGTTGCATATCCGCAGGGACCAGACCTCGGGCCCACACTTCGGCCTCAACCCTGGGCTGCACCGTCAACCCAACCTTCCCTTTCCCAGGCCTTTATGTTGAGACGTACACATTCCTGGGGCTTTGCCGCGGTATCAGTGCGCGTCCGCGCCGCTCCGAATGGTGTGACTTCCGAACGGGAACCCTGTGGTGTTTGCTATGACTCTGTTTTACGAAGGACCCACACCCAGGGCCACAAGCACCTGTTTCTAATGAGATCTGAGGCCAAAGCAGAGCCTTTGGGTCCCCGCTGCCACTTCCTGGTGCCCGAGTGGGAAAGGATACGGGGAAGCCCCTCTGTGCTCACGAGGGGGTGTCTCCCTCCCGGGACTCAGGACGTACCAAACGCCTGAGAGATGTTTCGTTTGTTTCTCCTTAGATCTTGAGAAATTTTCGTTTCTGAGAAACGAAAGGCCTCTGTGAATTTTCTGTGCTGTCTGCCTCACTGTCTGGCCCTGCAGCGTGGCCTGGCCCCTAGCCCTCCTAGGAGCCGCTGCCGACACCGCTCACTGTCTTGCCTTTTCCAGCCAGCAGCCGCCTGCAGGAGCACCGTACAGATGTCCGCCGGGCAAGTGCAGGACGTGTGGGTGCGCTGCCGCTGGTCCTCCAGCTCCGAGTCCGACAGCAGCGAGGAGGTATGGGCGGGGCTCGGCGGCCTCGGGGCGGCGCCTCTCTGGGTCCGGGAGGCTCTGGGTGGCGGAGCGCTGTCGCAGCCCAGTGGAAATATCACCCAGACCTGGCCCGCACCGCCCTGCTGCTCAACTGGATTCTCTCTCTTTTACCTACAACCTCATTTTCAATATCCCTTACTTCCTTCAGCCTACTCTCTCTCGTTCTGTCTGTCTGTCTATATGTATCTATCCATCTGTCTACCTCTGTTTCTATTTCTCCATTTCCCCGAGATCTGTGAAACTGGGAGCTTAAGTCACAACGAGCAAATCTGCAAAGTTTTAGGTTTCAGGAAGATGCTCACTGGTCCGGGGTTTAGTGAAACAAAGAGTTTTTGTGAAACAAAGAGGGGCGTGTTCGGTGGACCCACGTCCAAACTATCCTTCCAGCTCTGCAGTTAGATCGGGGTACGTAGCCTTCATGCCCTGCAGCTCCTCCCTCTTACGTGAAGGAATAAATGCCAGGAATAAAGACCACCCAGCAGGCTGTGGACCGAACCAAGGAAGTTGCTGGGCACGGATCTGGCCTGGCGTCTGGCACAGAGCGGATGCGCGGGGAGCGGCAGGACACGCTTCTTCCTTCATTCACACTGACACTGATTTGCAGTAATGCTGTGAAATTAATAGTATATACTTTCTTTAACCTCACCTGAGGATACTTCTTCATGGCTTCTAGAGAGGAAGGGAGAGAGAGAAGCATCAATGGATGCCCTCATAGGTGCCCAGACTGGGGACCAGACCCACAACCTCTGGGTTATGGGACGACAGTCCAACCAACATCAGCCAGGGTTACATAAATTTCTGACTTGAAATATATTACACATTTATTCGTCTGTTCACTGACTACTTTCCTTAGTAGACTGTCTGTCTCATGAGGTCAGAAATGTTTACTTTTGTCAGCCAAGGGCAATGTTTGATTTAGGGTAAGTAGTCCGTGAGCATTCACTGAATGAATTTTCAAAAACTGAGGGACAGCCCCAACCAGCGTGGCTCCGTTGGCTGGGTGTCGTCCGGCAAACTGAAATGTGTGTAGTTCAGAGGTTTAGCATATTCATAACAGTGTGCAGCCCTCACCAGTCTCTAAATTCAGAACATACTCATCGTTCCAAAAAGAAACTTCTTGCCCATCAGCTGTCATTCGCTGTCCCCCGCCCCTCCCCGGGCGACAACCACCAATCCCCTTCCTGCGTCTGTAGGTCCACCTGGGCTGCAGCTGGCCTGTGAGTGGGATTGCGTGACATGTGTTCTTCTGCGACCGCTTCTTTCCTGTAGAATCCTGTCGGGGAGCCCCATGCCTGCTGTGGCACACGCCAGCACTTAATTCCCTGATATCGCTGAGTAACTTTGCATTGTGTGAATACATCACATTTGATTTCTCTGTTTATTGGTCGGTCACCATTTGGGTTATTTCCCCTTTTGAAGTGTCATGAATTATGACGTGATGAGCTTCCGAGTGCAGCTGTGGACATGTTTTTAAACAGACTTTCATCGGCCTCGTGAGGGCTGCTAACACACAGCTCGCTGAACGCGTGTGGCGGCTTCACGGGGAGACCGAACACAGGCCGTCGGCCAGTCCGTACAACGGGCTTCCTCCTTCTGGTCCACAACGTTCGGGAGTAATTCTGCGTCTAAGGGAAAGCGCCCTTGTCAATTTGAACTGCATGTAACTGGCGTTTCCCACATATTTTCTTAGACGCCCATACTTAATACCTTATAAACTTATTTAACATAATGTACCATCTTATTTAATTGATCAGAGTCTCCAGATAAGATTTGCCTTTTTTGAAGTGCTTTGTTGATGATGCTATTACAGTTGTCCCTTTTTTTTCCTCCCCTTCTCCCCCTCCACCCTGTCTTGCTCTTTTCTCTTTTTCCTGTGCTGATATGAACCGACGCCTGAACTTATGAAGCTGGGTTTTGGGTTTGTGCTGGAATCTTCCAGATGGAGAAGCAGTGATCTCTTTGGTAAGTTCAGATCTTTTCTTTCTAATGTTTTTTTTTTCCCTTGAAACCACCTCATATTAAAGCTTCCTGTGAGCAGGTCAGTTAAAACTAGACATATCTACACATCACTTTTGAATAAGCACAGTCATCACAGAAAATAGACACTTCCTTTCTTTGGTTTCTTTCTTCACTCCAGGCAATAGTGACACTCGGTTCATTTTGGTGTCCCTTTGTGTTTACATGGAGCTGTTCCTTACACGGCTTCATTCGATGGCCCCCTCATCTCTGTCCAGGAGGCAGGCAGATGTGGGTTTTCACCCTGAACATGGGTCTGTCTCTGAACTTGAACATGCTTGCTCACCCCTCCTGGGTATAGGACTAAGCTGCAGGGCCCAGTATTCGATAGCGTGTAGCTGGGGGCGGGAGGGTCTGGGCCGAACTGGGGCTGCACCGGGTCAGCCTCCTGCCACGTGACCAGAACTGACTGACCCTTACCCATCTTGGATGGCAGAGTGGCCGGGGGACAGGCTCTCCTTTCCTTCCTTCCTGTGTGGCCTCTCATGGGAGTGGGGTGGCTTGGGGCTCCGGTGCTCCGGGGACATTCTTATGTTTCCGAGGCCTTTGTCGGTTGGTGCTGCTGGTGGCCGAGCTCTTTGCTGATCTCCCACTCCCTCCTGTTTAAGAGGCCCGTCTGGGGCATCAATGATGAAATCACAGAACATTCTGGAAGCAGCAAGGCCTCATGGTTGCTGTTGTGTTGCAGATCTCGTTCCTGACAGACCCACGAGGGAACAGTTTTTTGGAAGGTCGCTCGGTAAGTAGCCCGCTTTTCCTCCTCCGGTCTGCAGACCGGTTCTCGTCAGGGCGGACCCTGCTGAGGTCATTTCATAGGAGGCGAGCCCCTGGGCTACCAGTTATTTGGAGTGGAGGTGGAAAGGCAGTGCGGTGCTGCTCACATGTGCTGTGCCCATCGCTGAAAAGGGAAACCGAGGCATTAAAATGCACTTCAACGCACCAGGGATCAACACGCCAAATCTGCCTTGGGAAATAAGCACCATCCTTTGCTCCTGCCCCACTTTGGGGTGTTTTCTGAATAACACACATTCTTTTGATCTTCTCTTGCCCCTCCACGCTCAGCTGCACTTCATGGTAAGCAGACATAATCACCAGTATTTATTTTCCCCTGTTCACAGGTCAGTCTCTGATTTAGTCTTTTTGATAGCTCTGTAAACCAGGTTATTACCTGCTTACATAGAAGACATGAGTAATCACGCCTGGCGTTAATTGCACACACACCATCCTCTGTCCTGATCACTCGACACCCATTTCTCCTGCAGCCGTCACAACCGCCCCGAAAGGCAGCACTGTGTTCCTTCCCACTGTGTGGATGGGCACACGGAGGCCGAACGAGTTTCCGCAGCTGGCCCCAGGCTCCGCTGCCCACGGGGAGCTTCGACCCAGTTAGTGAGTGGCAGAGACAGGACTTCGGTGCAGGTCTGCCGGACCCAGAGCCTCTGTTGTTCTCCATGCTGCTTTCCAAAAGAGTTGTGAAATTCCCTCTGTGTACACAGTGCTCCACTGCAGTGAATCAAACAGATACGGCTGTCGCGCTGACTTCGACGTCTGGTCCTCACTAGGCATGCTCCAATTTATTGGAAGTGCTATGGCTTACAATCTGCGGCTTGATTTTTTAAAAATTGCAAAGCTCAGTTTTGGACCTTCTCCAGATGGTCACGTTGAAAGACCGTGCAGTTCTCCCCCAGTGGGACTGCTGCTGAGACGTTTTTTGAGCACTTCTTTTGGAAGGGCCTTCAGCATCTCTGGCCCATTCTTTTGAATCCCTGTAGCAGTAAGGAAACACTTGCCATTAGGTTTGACTTTAGAAGGAGCCAAAAGACCTTTAGAAATAAATCTGATCAACCAGATTACTAACCGATTGCTGTGTGACGAGTTGCTCTAAAACTTAGCTGTTTAAAGCAACAGTAGGTTATTATCGCAGTTTTCGGGGGTCAGAAGCCCAGACGCAGCTCAGTGGGGTGTGCCTGGCTCAGCGTGTCTAACAAGGTCACAGACAAAGAGTTGACGGGGCTGTCACGGTTCCTGAAGGCTTGCTTGCCTGGGGCCGAAGGGTTCACTTCCAAGTTGCCCACGTGCTTGCTGGCAGGCCCAGATCTTCATGGGCTGGAGGACGAGGGCTTTGGTTTCCCACTGAGGGGGCCTTTCCACATGACTGTCTGAGCGTCTCCAAAACAGGGCAGCTGGCCTCCCCAAGGAAACCAGAGAGATGAGCAGGCGACAGAGCACCCGGGACAGAGGCACAGTCTTTTATAACCTAGTCCCGGAAGCGACACGCTATCCCTTCTGTGTATTTGTTTGTTCATCATGCAGACCAGCCCTGGTTCAGTTGGGGGAGGGAACTGCCCAAGCCCGCGAGCACCCAGGAGGCCAGCTTGGAGGTCGGCTACTACATTGGGGAAAGGCCATTTGGGACAAATATACACATGGACAGAAAGTATTGTGACCAGTACTTTTTGTACATCTCAGAAAGTAATTCCAGAGCTGAATTCTACAGCCATTCTGGGCTTTGGGAGCATCGCTGACATAGATGAACAATCAGAGATGGCCTTGAATGTGACGATTTAGTTCAATGCACCAAACCTGTGTGGCAAACACGGGGCAGAGCCATGGAGGACTCTGAACGAGCTATGTGACAGTATGTGCCCTTGAGGGCTTGCAGCTGTGACAGAGGCAGATCACACTCGGTGGAGCGACAGAAGCACGTTCGGAGTTCGGCTGTGACACCACGCAGGACAGAGCGTGGGAGAGCTTGATCCGGAAGGCGAAGCCGTCGTTTTCTCCTGGCAGGATGGGCTCTGGTTATGCTAGTCAGGAACCTGCTGCTCAGTTCATTGTCACCTGGCCCAGGTTGTCTTAGGTCTCGATGTGAGTGACAGAGCCTATCGTTCCTCTTCTGTTTTCAGAGGCCATGAGGAGGGTCTTTCCTCCTGGAAATAGAAGGTCCCCGGGCCTGTGGCACAGAGCGAGAGTCGATACGGGCTTTGAGTAGAGCGTTGAGGTAAGAAAACACGGGTCAAACCCGTGTCTTTAGAAGTGGGGGCTCTCTCGCTGAGTGCCTTCACAGGGCAGCTCCCGCCCCTTAAAACGTCTGTACGTCCGTTCACCTCTGGTCCCCGCCTTCCTGCCGCCTCTTCCCCTCCCAGGTACTGAATACTCCTCCATCGGCTCCTCACTCCTGTGCCATCCATCTCTTTCCCACCGAAATGATCAAGTTTTTTCACTTTAAGAGCAAAAACACAACAAATAAACGAGAGAACAGCCCCTTCCCTGGGCCCAGGGTCCCTCCTGCCGTCTCCATTAGGCTTCTTGACACAGTTTTGTCGACGGCTCCTGCTCAACCGCTTCGCCCCCCATTCACTTTTCTGCTTTTCACAAACTGGATTTTAATCCTTCAAATCGTGGACTGTGATCTGCCTTCCTTTCCTCCATGGATAATTTAAATCCTGGCCACCATCTGTATTATCTCTGTAACCCAGTTCCTTTCTTCTTTTGTCATCTCTTCCACTCGCCCGACTTGATCTTCATTATGCAATTATTTCCGAGCCCGCATCTCCTGCCCGCTCCATCTGGGATCCAGGCCCACTAGATGCTGTTGCCATGGATACCCCGCGAGTGAATGAAACTCAACCAGCTTCCTCTCCAGCTCCCATTCTCAATGAAAGACATCACCAGCCACCTCATTTTCACAAGTGCAAAATTTTAGAGCATCTGCAACTCCTCTTTACTCTCTGTCTTCTCCCAACATGGCACACTGTTGATTTTGTCCACACTGTCTCTCTGGCCTTGGCCCAGGCCCTGGTCCCATGATGTCCAGCTTGCACGCTGTCCTCAGGGGTATCTGGAAACCCAGAGGAGACTCTGGTCCTTCTCCACTTAAACCCCTAATGCTTGCTTCATTCACTTAAGGGATTCAGCAGAGGTGTGCAAAAGTCAGACCCTGAGCTGAGAGAAAAGGTGGGGAGCTAGAGTTTGAGCCCTGGTTCTCCAAACCCACCCCAAGCATTGAGTCTCATGGGTTTATGAGTTCCCAGTACTGGGGATTGGAGCAAAGGCAGCCATGCATTTGTGAAGCCATGTAGTAAAGGGGCATCGTGAAGGGTGCATTTACCAGGACTCTTGGGTGCAGTCACAGGGGTCGATTCTGTGTGCGTTTGCTTTTACATACACACAGGCAAGTTAATAACAAAGCTCAGGCCTTCACAAGCTGATAGTTTACATAGCACTGTATGCCTTCAGGGTAAAGTCCGAAGTCCCTAGCTTGGCCCACTTAGGCCTTGGTGGCCTGGCCCCGCCCACTTCTCTAGCCTCATCCTTCCCAAGTCCACCCAGCCCCTAAGCTCCTACAAATCTCAGATACTTGCAATTTCTCCTGCTGTGCCCTCTACCTGGAACACCCACCTGGCTGATTCCTCCTTCCCACTCGGGGTCCAGCTCAGGGGCCCTGCCCAAGTCAGAGATACATTTCTCTGTGGGCCTCACAAAAGTCCTTGTCCCAGGGCACTGCTGGGCTCCTCTCTGCCCGGTCTCTCCCCCCTCCCTGGAATCCAAGGCACAGGGCTCAGGGGACTGGACAACTGTCTCCCAGGCCCTCGGCAGAGCCTGGCACACAGCAGGCATCCGGGAAGTGTGTTCCTGAGTGAATGATGGGGTGCTTTATTTTGAGTTCTTGAGATTCTTTTATTCTTAAAAAGTGAAGAAGATCCAGCTAAGTATAGTATAATTAATTTTTAATCACTGGAATTTGAAAGAAGTCAACTGACTTTTTACTAAAACAGAAGAAAAATCTGCCAGTGAGGTGGTATTGAACGAAAGATGCCAATGGTAGGTTTCGTTTTTCATCTATGTGCGCCCTAAAAATAAAAACCCGCTTTGGACTGAGAGCAAGAAACTACTCATTATGAAGTAACAGCCTCATCGTATTCCTTTTTCATAAACTGAAGTCGCTTCTTTGGGCTTTACAACACATCCTCCTGTGTGAAAGAATTCCGAACGACTTGGCTGTGTTTTATTATTAATAATATGCTTATATTGGGCAGGCATACATATGCATTTCTGCATAAATTCATGACCTGATTTCTTTAAAGAAACCGATCCCTTCAAAAACATCTCTTTAAAGACAGCACAAAAGAACAGCCAAAGGCAACCACCCTGGCCCGGGGCATTGACTTTGACTGGAGTCCTGGTTGTGTCTCTGCCCTCCCGTGACCTTCTGCAGGGCAGGTGTCCACCCTATGCCCAAAGTTCCCTAGAATCATAAGTGAGGTTGGGAGGGCTGGCCCAGAGCACCCAGTGGGAGGCTGACTCTCCAGGTCTGGAACCAGCGGCCTGGCTCCAGCCCAGTCTGCCCTTTCCCAGCTGGTGCGGTGACCCGCTGCCTTAACCTCTAGGACTCAGGTCCTTCAACCATTTATCATGGTTATTATTTACTTGTTTCTGTCCCTACTGGACCATGATCTCCTTGGGGATGTCTTAGCTTGTTCCCCTTATTAATTATTTTAGTTTAACAATAAGAAAAAGATGATCGAGGAGGATTTCTATCTTAAATCACTCGTAACAGTGTCCTTTGTTTTGTAATGCTGAGAAACGGCGTCTAGAGTAAGGGTTCGATCACGCTGGGGGGAAGGAATGGATGAATCAAAGCCAGATGGCTCCTTTTACTCCATGAAGGTCGCCTTCCCCGTGGGGACCTTACTGAAGGCAGAGACTTTGGCTCGTACGGCACAGACGCCCCAGAGCCGGGCTCAGTGTCTGGACCAAAATAGGAGCTGCGTCAGGGTTTCTGCAGTGTAGCTAACGCTGCTCTAGGCTCCTGCTAGGGAGCTAGAAAACCCGCATGTCGGAGTGGCTAGCGAAAGGTGTGATTTCAACAGAGCTCTGACCCTCTTCCCCATGTTGGCTGCTCTAAAAGAGGTCCCCACTCTCCCGTGGAAAGGACTTGATGTGAGGGTCTCATGTTTTCTTGGTCTTTATAGCCAAGAACACCGGGGGTCCCCAGAACACCAGGGCAGACTCCCGCGGTCCTCCAGGCTCTCTGTACGCGTATTTCTGTTTAAAGATGCCTTCTTTCACGCGCACTGTTGATGTGTTCACGTGGAACTCACCACCGGCTGTGCTCCAGCTCAGGCCTGAACGGGGCTCATCGAACACGGTGTGCCCCCGAGAGGCCCCCGGGAGCCTCCTGGGGCCCAGGATCACCTGGCAGCACTCGGCCCGCCCGGGGGGCCGCTGCAAACAGCGAAAGCACCCACAGCGAGGACAAAAGTGGGAAACACGTGGCACCAAAATGACCCTCGTTCGCGGCACAAGAGCCGGACCCCGAGGCAGAGCAGCCTTGTTTCGAGGCTGCAGGTTGAAAGCCTGGTTTTCGTCACTTGGAGAGTGTCCTGGAATGCGTGGGAAAGCTCTAGGAGTTGTGACTCGGGGGCTGCCAGTGAATATCGGTGAGCGGCAAATTTCTGGGAATAGCGAAAATCGGCTGCAGAATGGGTCCCCTCCCTCATTTATCCCCAGCTTCTCTTCCCTCTCACCAGGGTGTGAAGACAAGCCATCAGCTCTCACTGCCTCCAGCACCACCCTCCCGCTCCTCTCGGGACGCTGCCCCCACCTCCTACTCTGTAGCCACCCCTCTCTGCTTCCCGGGCCCCGTCCATCCCTGTTTCCACCGAACATCAGCCACATTTGATGCTGATGAAAACTCCCTTCCTTCCCGAAACCCTCTGGTCTCTGAGCCTGTGCCTCCCTGGTTCTCCTCTCAGCCGAGAGTTCTCTCTCTTCTTTGAGGGTCTCTCCTCTTCCTCCTGCTCCTGAAATAGTGATGGCCCCCAGGGCTCTGCACTCCGTGTCC